CACTTCATGAACAAGTTTTCTACATATATATTATGAAAATATATATATTGGCGTTTATTTATATAATCAAATACCTTCTTTTTTTTTCTCTGTATTACTACCAATTCAACATCCAAACTTTGTTTAATTCAAACAAAACCAAAGAAAGAGCGTGAAATTGAGTTAGACCGTGTAAGGATTAAAGGTCAAAATTGTTATTTTATTTTACTTTTCAACCCAAGTCAAACACGTATCCCGGTTTTTCAATATACCAACATCAACTAGTGCATTCAAAGTTGAAAGTCTGTACCTACCAAACCGGTTTATTATAGACCCGGTCAACAAAAAATTATAGTTGACCAAGCAACTGATATATCCTTTTAAAAGGAGTCGCATCTGCGTTACCAAGTTCCATCATCAACCTAAGTAGAACACAATAGATTTCTTTAAAAAAAAATTCAAAAGAGAAATCAACAATGGAAAATATGAGAGATGGCGAAAAAAACAGTTCTCATTGGATCTCATTTATGTTCTTTGAGCGATCTTCAGTAATGATTACTCTCTTGAAGTGTTTCGGCTTTGGAAGTTCTTCTCCATCATCCTCTTCTAGTGAGGAAAAAGGCGACGGTATGGTGATAAAGGAGGAAGAAGAAGATGAGATGACCGTTGAAATCAAAGAACCGAGGTCGCGGAAGAGTACGCCTAAGCCAAAACCAAGCTCAGGGAAAGGAGGCAAAATCAACTAGGCAAATGTATATACAGACGAAAACAAATAAATGCAAATGTATACATTAATAGATTTTTAGTCGTTTATTTTGTATTTAAATTGGATAAAATAAAATCTGAGTTTGATGTTACTGTTTGCCTGCCGAATAACACAAATTAAAATGATTGAATCACTGATCTATATATTCCATTATCACTTAGCTCGTTTCAATAAAAGATAATAACTTGACACGATCTTAAAGAATCGAGTGACAGAGAAAACTAGTTTATTTTCCAAATTTCAAAAATTTATGTCTGCAACTCATTAATTAATTAATTTATAAAAATAATATTTTTTGAGAAAATATGGAAAACATGCATTTAAAAAAAAAATTATATTAGGGAAATGAGCAATTATTCATAATTTGTAAAATGTTAAAAAAGTTTGATGGGCTTGAAATTTAAGCCCATTATTAGATCGAAAGCCCAAGTGCATTAGGTTAGATTTTTTCTCGCAAAAAGAAAGTCGTATATAAATGGCTCTTGTTGCTCGCGAAGCTCGCTACTAGCATCTAGAGTGTGCGGCGTCTGATCACGACGGAGATAAACCCTAATTCTTGTGTAGACAATCAGAGAGAGATGTCTGAAGAATCTAACATCGATATGGAGGCATCGATGATCAAAGACATACGCAAGTATCTCTGTCAGTATTGTGGAATCAGCAGATCGAAGAAATACCTCATCACTTCACACATCCTTTCTCATCATAAGGTCTCGATCTTTCTCTCTCTCCGATTCGAATTCCAAATCTGATACAAGGGTCGTTGTAAAGTTTGAAAATTTCGAGCTTGATGAACACTTCGATTGGGATTTCATGTTGTCTGATTCGTCTTCTTTGTTTCTGGGGATTTTTTTTGTGTTTGTTTTAGATGGAGATCGAAGAGGAAAGAGAAGATGAAGCTTGTGAGATTGAGGAAGAAGCTTTAGGTAAACATAGTTGCCAAGAATGTGGTGCTGAGTTTAAGAAACCTGCTCATTTGAAGCAGCATATGCTGAGTCATTCGATCGAGGTAGATTTATCGAATTTAAGCCCTATATTGATTGATTCCTTGTGCAATTCTATTACAAATGGAGATGCAGAGAGCGAGATATATACTCATGGATGGGCTTTAGTTCTGATTACTGTTTTTGATGCTAGAACTAAAAGATTATGCATTTGCAGGAATAAATGGACTTTTTGTGTTAATACAAAAGGGTTTACTTGTGTTATTGCGTGAGGCATTGGATCCCAAAGAGAGAACTCCAAAATGCGAGGCTACGTGTTATGGACTAGTATCAGGTAGGGAGACCTCCTGAGAAGCTCCAGCAAGTAAGCCTCGATCACGCTAATGGTTTTTGAGGTCTGATGTTCAATAGCTTGCTTTGCTGCTCAAGTGCTTCACATATTTGTTTTGTCCATGTTTCGAAGTTGCTGATGGGTTTTTTACTTTTCTCGGACTTGTAGAGACCTTTTACATGCTATGTGGACGATTGTGCTGCAAGTTATAGGAGAAAGGATCATCTCAATAGGCATCTACTTACACATAAAGGGAAGCTCTTTAAGTGTCCTATGGAGAATTGCAAGAGTGAATTCTCAATTCAGGGAAATGTCGGTAGACATGTTAAGGAAATGCATAAAAATGGCGATGCTAGTAAGGATGATACTGGTAATGGCGATTCTCGTCCCACGGAATGTGCTACTAGTCAGAAGCCACATCTCTGCCAAGAGATTGGTTGTGGTAAAGCCTTTAGGTATCCTTCACAGCTGCAAAAACATCAGGATTCTCATGGTAAGCGAACCATTCAACCAGGATATTACCCATATTTTCTAAACCTTACATATTTCTAATCTCTAAAGGTTTTGTATTTTAATTTGCAGTGAAATTGGATTCGGTTGAGGCATTTTGTTCTGAACCTGACTGTATGAAGTACTTTACAAATGAGGAGTGCCTCAAGACACACATAAGATCCTCCCATCAGCACGTCAACTGTGAGATATGCGGTTCTAAGCATTTGAAGAAGAATATCAAGAGACACCTACGGACTCATGACGAAGATTCCACACCAGGAGTATTCAAATGCGAAGTTGAGGGATGTTCTTCGACATTCTCAAAGGTAAAGGAAGATCCAGAGCTCCTGAAACTTTTAGCCGTACTGTTTCCAAGTCCCATATTATTCAACATTCCTGACCACACTACATTGGTTTCACAGTCTTCTAATCTTCAGAAACACGTGAAAGCAGTGCACGAGGATATCCGACCCTTTGTCTGCGGGTTTCCAGGTTGTGGCATGAGATTTGCTTACAAACATGTCAGAAACAACCACGAGAATTCCGGGTGCCACGTATACACCTGCGTAAGTTCATCCCCTCCTTTTGTGTTACAAACTCAAAAGAGTAAACAATCTCACATAAAAAGTGAATGGTGGTTTCAGGGTGATTTTGTTGAAACCGATGAAGATTTCACTTCAAGACCAAGAGGTGGAGTAAAGAGAAAGCAAGTTACAGCGGAAATGCTGATACGGAAGAGGGTCATGCCTCCGCAGTTTGATTCAGAAGAGGAACACAAGACTTGCTAGTTTTACAAGCTTTATATCTTGTTATTGTTTTAAGATTGAGATTTCAAAGTAGTAGGCTGGTGGTATAGCTGTGTGTAAAGCTTTTTGGTTTTGCTTGTGTGTCGTGTAGAAGATAAGATAGAATGACAATAGTAATTAGTTAATGTAAAATTTTGTTCCCTATCTATGCTTTATGAACTAGTTTTAACTTCACATTTCTTCAACTTGCGGCTTTAAAAGATAAGCTTTTGGGATGAAGATAAGACACTTTAGTGCTCCATATTCAAAGTAAACAAGACTGATTGTTCTACCTTGCCAAAAAGTCAATGGTCGGTCACAATCAATGGTTACATGTTTTGCAATAAGCACAATTGCATTACTAGCTTATTATATAAAACCAAGGAGTTAGAGGATAAGAATTCAATTGGAAAGCATGGCTACACTCAAGATTTGGGTGATGTCTCTCATACTAGTAGGTAAGGTGTTGCTACTTGCTATCCTCTGTTAAGCTAGAAAAATAATTGTAAAATCCGTAACTTGATTCAATTTGTCTTTGTTTCAAAAGGAGCCATTCTAGGAGGAGTAATCCCTGGAGTAACTACAACAATGACAGCGATCGCGTGTCCTCTTTATTGCTTGGAAGTAGAGTATATGACATGTCCTTCCTCCGGCGATGACAAGCTTCCTCCGAGATGCAATTGTTGTCTTGCTCCCAAAAACTGTACCCTCCATCTCTCTGGTTCTACTTCTATTCATTGTAACAAATGAGATTCCTTATCTAAATTTAGAAAGATGTGTGAACGCTTGACGGAACTCCTCCTTCGAATCCCATCCATTCCTCCCATTCTTCGGTTTCATCCGTTTCTAAAATC